TTACTTTTCACCCACCCTGTATATATGGAGAAAGGCTTTTACTTTAACCTCAATCAAGACTGAAAGCAAGAGCACCATTTTTTATCTTCAGCTAGACAACCTGGGTAAAATCCAAAATTGTCCCCAAATGGGATATACTGTAGTTCTCACATAATATCTGCACAATAGACTCCATGCACACACACACACACACACACACACATGCATGCACACAAACACAAATGTTCATTTCCCACTTAAATCCCTCTATCCCCTCTGTGACCACTGATTCAGCCCATGGATGCGCTCGGTTTTGGCAGTGCTGTTCTCTCAGCCACAGAAGGCCCTTTAAAGATATCACCATTGTTCCCTAATGGCCTCACCTCCTGTTCAAGGAGAGAAGAGAGAAGCAAGAGTGCAAGTGAGAAAAAGAGTGAGCAAGAGAGAAAGAGAAAGAGAAAGAAACAGAGATGGCCTTTTAGGATGATAGCAATGTTCCCAAAGGGCCTCAGCTCTGTACAAGCAAAGTTCTTTGGATAACAGGCAGTCGAGTGTGTTCTCTTAAGCAACAGTGCAACTGTCCCAGTCCTTATTTTCAGCTCTACTGGTGTGTTCTGGGTAGTGAAAACATGTTTCCATCTTCCTTTCTTCTCTGATTCCTACTCTGTTTTCTTTCTATTTTAACTTCTTTTCAGTCTTTCCTCAGTTGTCTTGTATTGCCACTGATAGAGGATGTTGAAAATAAGAGTGACAAGTTGCTGTTACCTGCTCAGTGACCTTGCCCATAATCCAGCCAGAACTATGGCAACACTGGCCATAATGAGTAAATGTGGGAAGTCCCACCTAGTGGTAAAACTGTTGACATTAAGAGGTTACTTTGATTTGTTTTGCTTTAAGCCGATGACAAGTGCATCTTAAGGCACAATAGTTAAAGGTTACACAAAAGAGACATTTGAAAAGTGTGATGCTTGTTAGGTTGCCAATTGTTTATTAAGAGAAACCAATATAAGTGCCAATATTTTGAACAAATGTCAGCTTACTCTTTTGCTTCTTTTGACTACTGATTCAGACACATGTCGCTTGTGGAGGTGTCTACAGTACGTACATCTTCTGGACCTTCTCTCTCAGCAGAGTGAGCAACATACACCAGGCCTAATTTGTCTTAATGCAGTCCATAGATGCTGCAGTGTCCTGTCTGTGCTAAATGTGAGGACTGAGATGAGGTTGTAACCCAAGTCAATGGTTATTAAAATGTCTCTGTCCTCTTGCATAGTCCTGCCTAATGTGGCATGATAGCATAGTACAAAGAAGAAGAATGTATTGTAGATCACATTGTGTCTGTGGATGCTGCAGCAGAGAAGGCCACCTCACCTTGTTGCATCTGCCCCTTTGTAGAGATGGACAAGGAATAATATTTGACAAGGCAGATGAATTTAATGAGTGAGGAATTAGTGATGGAATTAGTAATTAGGAATTAGTAATGGATTTAATGAGGAATTTAATAAGCAGAGAAAATGGTAACAACAAAAGGAACAGAAAAATGAAAGATTTGCTGTAAATTCTAATTTTCCTCCTTCTCACAGCTCTGAAATATATAGCTTCTCTGGGGCATTGCCTTCATTTCATTCTGTGGCACTACAATAACCAAACGATTCATTCTGCGTGAGGCTCATCACTGGTGAGGATGAGAGAGGACAGGATTAAGGTGACAGTGAAGAAGGAATTGTCAGAAGTGGAAAACAACATAATATGATCTAGACCATGAGACAACAATCAAGTGATGAGGAGGAGGGCCCTGCTGAGCTTGTAACCTTCTAGTTAAAAAATGGGATTTTTGTCCTGGTCTTCATCCTCATCTAAGAGGAAAGGCAGACGGTGCACTGAAAATGTTATCAGGATGACCCCAGGGTCCTGGACTGATGTGTTTGAACCGTTTCTGACAGATCCAATCAAAACCATAGTCTCAGATGTGATGAACATGAAGGGTAGACATGTTCAAAGAGGTGGAAGGAGAGGTATCCAAGCATACATGTGTCTGTCTGATGTAGAGATCCCAAACTGAATCCACCTCCGGTTTATTGCATGCAGAGTCTGATCAGACATTTCTTTTAATAATGAGTCAGGGTTTCACGATAAGAAGACTCTTATTAGGTAAAATCCTGGCCTCAGTCTGATATCTCTGTGTGCTAAGCAGAGAATGCAGAGACTAAGATACGGGAGGCACAAGAAGACAGTCCTGGGGAGAGGATATTTCTGGGCTTTTTCTTTTCCAAATAGTTTAACTAACAGTGAATGCAAAGTACTAAATATCACAGGTAAAATAGAAATTTATTTATCACCTTTCTCTACTATTTGAAAATCATTTTGAACTTCACCTACTGAGCTTAAACCTCTGGTAGGTGAGACATACAGTAGCCATATCATATGTCATACACACTGTTTGCAGCCTTAAGGTTTATATATTGAGTATTTTCATTATGCACTATTTCATATCCTTCTAAATGTATAAGTATTAAGTGATATCTTTAGTGATGTATTTTCCTGCAATTTCTTAAGGATATATCAGCTCTTTTATGTAAAAAAAACAACAAAAAACAAACATTGTTAAAAGCTTTTTTTCTGAAACTACAGCAACTTTCAAGTTTCCAGGTGGGAAGATGACTTAACAACAATAGACACATAAAGATACAGGGCATGTGGTGGTGTTGGTTGAAAAAGAAAAGTGGGGAAAAGAAAGGAGGATTAATGAGCCTAACCTCCATAGATCCATAAGCATTTTACACTGATGCTTGTTTGGACCTTACCTGGTAGTTACATGCTGCCATATTTGAATCCTAATCTCTCAGTTGCAAGAGACATAGAATGATGGAGGAAGAAAGTGAGAGAGGAGAACGTGAAGAGACTGATGAGCATAAAAGATAAGAAAGGGGGAAACTTGCAAAGAATAATTAGAAACAAATGCATAGAAGAATGGAGGGTTTTTTTTTACCTTAGTGAAGCCCAGAGACGCCGCAGGGGGGAGGCAGGTGGGAGGTGAAAGAGGGGGTGAAAAATACATAAAAGCTATGCCGAGTGAGACTTGAGAAAGTTGATGATAAAGGCAGGGGAATGAAGGCAAACAGGTACACCCAAGAGCCAAACACCAAAGATCTACAAGCTTTTCACAGGGAGGTCATGTCTTTCTTTGTCTCCTCCAGAGTAAAATCATTCAGAAAGCAAGAGAGAAAAATGGATAAAAGAGGTTGTGAATATATAAGGGAAAGCAAACAGTGAAGCAGCGAGGGGATAGGATTAGAGATCTAAAAGCATTTGGTAAGGCAGAGTAAAAGGCAGTCAGGCAAGTAGATAAACACCAACAACTGAAACATGTTGAAAACCTTTTACAGCAGGGTACAACCTCAGATTGGTAGTGTACACTGCAGGTGAGCTTCAAACGCTATGCCATTTAAAACAATGGCCATTAGTTGTTTTCAGTCCCTGCTCAGTAGGCCATCATCATCAGCCTAGTAGGCTGATACAGTACTGTGTGCAGGACATTGGTTATCATGGCTACAATAACAAATGCAGAACAAGGTTTTGGCACAAAAACATCTTGGTCAGTTTAAGTGGGATAATTAACTACTCACTGATTGTTGGTTAGAATTCAACAGCACTGAGTTTGGAAATAAATGTGTTTGTATCTGAAATCCTTTAATCCACCTGTGAACTGATAATCATCAAATAGTGTGTGCAGTTTAGACAATGCAAAAGCAGCTCAGTGCATGGGAAGGTCAAGATCAAAATACAGTAGGTCATACAGAATAGGAAGAAAAGAAAAGAAGGTAGCTGAGAGATGTTTAGATACTTAGAGTATGTGAAAGGCAGAGAAGAGGGTCTGTGGAATCTGGGGGGATTAAAAGCCAGAGAAGTTTAGATAGG